GAGGAAATGGGCTCTCGGGCTACAGGTTAGTTGATTGAATGCCTGACAACTTTTTGTTTTTTTGGTCAAGAGTATTTTTAAACTATGGAAAATGATAGGAAATGAGAAAAATTACATAGGAAAGTTATTATTGAATGTTTTGTTTTACCTTGGGGAGTGCAACGGAAAATGAAATATGATTAGTGTTTCAATCTTAAACTTTACATATATTTGGACAACACCTAACAAAATGAGTATCAACAAATATCTATTTTAATACCGGAGTATTATTGAGTTATATTTCCACACATTTTCCCTTGCTATTTTCCTCGATATTTTCATCTCCATTTCTTTATAGTATTTTTGGATGTCCAAACAAACTCTATGTTTTGCCATCTTGCGAAAAGTAAGAGTTGGATTTGAGTAGACCGCGTTCTACATTTACGGCCATGCATATCCTAGATGGCTCTTAAATACTTTCATATGTAATACATATATGCTTTCATTGTGATGCACAAACATTTTTAGGGAAACCATTGATTTTATTCTTTTGACCATTTTAATAGTCCCGAGCTCATCCACGCGAAATAATGACTGAAGTCCTCAAAGCCCTACAAGAGCTGAATGTGTGTTGGAAAAAAATTGGGCAGTACAATATGAAATGCCGGTGGACTCCTAACTTTCCTAATCATCGTGAAGGTGTTGCAATCAATTTATTTCAGAGTCACAATTACTTTGAAGACGAATCTGCTATCCTTGAAAACCAAGGTGTTTTTAGATCAGTGAATGTTGTCAAATTTGAAGTTCAGGTAACAAGCCTCCTATTATATTATACTCATATTTGATAACTTTGATTATCTTAGAAGAATGACCTAAGAGCCCATCCATTTAGAAAAAAAAATTGCTGAACTGACGTAAGTTGCAGAACTTGCTTAGACAATACTCCTGACGTCCCACTATATTTGCCCCCTTTTTACATTTTTGTATTCGTCCTACTATTGTCCCATACCACATTTTGTCATATTTGTGCGGTTCACATCCATTTTTCTTTTATCTTACTTTTTAATATCAAAATCAACCACAAAATCTTCTTTTATGACCGAATATACTTTTTCTATTATGGCATTCCCCCTGTCAATGGAGCTAAAGGAGTCACATTATTGACAACGTTTTAGCTTCTGGTAATGAATAGCCCTAATGGAAACAGGCTTATTACATACATTTTTGGCCTTCCGGCCAATTTGTTCACTTGTTTTTATCTTGAAAACGAATGCTCCGTATTTACTACGAATGTGTGATTGCGCAGCTGTACAAAACTCGGGACAATAAGTACCTGCTGGATTTACAAAAGGTTCAGGGACCGCAGCTCCTCTTCTTGGATCTTTGTGCTGCTTTCCTTGCCCAGCTCAGAGTTCTCTGAAGAAGATAAACATTTTATGGTGTGTAAATTGTAATAGTAATATTTTCTGTTCTTCTCTTCCCCCC